GAAATGTCATAGATACCAGAACGATAAACATATTATTGTAGTAATACATTAAAACGTGACAGATGTATTTAATTTTTTTCTTTGCTCAGGGCCGTGTTTTCAGCATTATATTATACTGTCGCCAGTTTCCCCCCAGGCCCTAGGCGTTAGGCGCTGTCAACTGTGCCTAATGCCTATTGATTAATCCGGCGATGTCCAACGATACAATTTGTATGTTATATCATTTAGCCACATATTTTCCTTTGTTGTCTAACATGAGTGTAATTTTTTAATCTTCTATCAACATCTTGAACGATATCATCTGGCTCTGGTGTTCATGCGCGTACAGTTACACTTATTTTCATCCTATATCTATATAGCTATATATATTAGCTATATATATTTTAGCCTATAATATAAAAAAAACCAGAATTTTTATAGATCTAGATGAAGAGACGTACCTACAGACATAATTATGGAACACACACACACATACATAATACGTACTTATTCGAAGACAGTAATACGTATAGTGTATATTTTATATCGTAGAGAACTTATGCGGTCGAAGAATGTAATTTTCAGATGTATAGTTTTTATTTCTTTCGTTGTTTTCGAAGCACATTATTTATAAGGTCTCTCTCACGAGAAAACTTCAAGGATTTTCTCATTAATAGGTGCGTGCATAGATATATATATACATACATAGGATCCCACGGACGGGTACCACACCGTTTCTGGGCTCGGTTTTGTTTGTTTTTGTGATTGCCGTATACAAAATCATTATACTACTTACCCGTTGTCGTTTACACGTTGGGTTCACCACCGAGGACGGCAGCATGGCGCGTGTGATTAAAATTCAATGCACATAACCGCAAAGGCCTTTTGCCGTAACCAAAAAAAAAAAAACTCGATGCTCGCCTTTAGAATTTTTTAAACAATTATTATCATTATATAGACATCACCGTTGTGATCTCGTGTTTTCAACGTACAAGGTCAACGTGCCCGTATCGAGAGCATATTTTTTAAAATCGCATCCTACAACCATCCGCCAAAATATATAATAAAAACGCCTCCGGTCGACCGGCCCACATTCTAATCGCTTGGCGAATCCCACTCGGTCGCGCTACTAACATTGACATTGCAGTATATTTTTTTTTATCAGCACAACCACGCCGGCAAAACGTCATTTGCAATGATATTTCTACCATACAGTGGGTCCCAATAGTAATAAAATATAATAATTACTATTGTGCAATTCTCTAGGTCCGCGCAAGGACGTTGTACGGTGTATAGTAAGAGTGATGCACTTTATTGTGTACTACATTAGCAGAGAATGTGCGCCGTTTAACGTAAGTCAATCTCGTTAGTGCACATTTTTTTTGTAAAAATAAATTTAACTATATACACTGGATAGATCAATGTGATTGTGTGTTACCCGCACAGGTTACATTCGTATAATAGAAGGATAACAAATTATTCGCACACACTTAAGAACGAATTTTGCTCAGACTTCCTAAAAAAATGTATACTCCGCATTGCGCTCGAGGCGAATACCCCACACAACGTGAAAACCAGTTATAAATAATGATATAAATATTATGTTTTTCAATTTAAAAAGCCTTTTTTCTTTGTAATCGTGTAGGATATTATGCATTTTCCCGTATCTTACACATGCGTTATAATATTCATTAGCGTTCGAGTTGTTTGCAATTATCACATTTTATGAAATTTTATTGGTCGACCATAATATTATCTTTTCAGCGTAAGTCGATTTCCGTTTAGGTCTTATATGGTCATGCCGAGTAACAGTGCATAATGAATCATCTCGGAAAATGTTGTTTTTTGTTTATTTCATAAAAAACTCCCACTGAAGACGATTAGAACTATGGTTCGAACTTTGGTAGAGCGTGAAATGGTAGAATTAAAAAAATGAATCTAAGGTAAGAGTTTTGGGCAAACAAATTGTTTAAATAATGTAATTTTCCAATTTTTTTAAATAAATATTTAATTTAATTAAAATTTTTTAGAAGTTACTAGTATTGAACTAGTATTTGTGTTATAACTTATTACACATTATTATTTAATTTTCTGCTAAGCACATGACATAAAAATATAGTTGTGATAAATACGTAATAACAGTTATTATTCTAAAACACTGCAATTTTCAAATTAAATATCATTCAACATTATTCGTGTCAAAATAATTCAGGGTCATTTTAAATTTCAATATCACCTATTGAAACGCGAGGGACGATAAACTAAAGCGTTTTTCGATATACTAACAGTGTCATTAGAGTAAACCTATTAAGGTTAACTCTACGCCTTCTCTGAGTATTGTCTATACGACCTAATTGTTTTGGGGTTCCATTACTTCTAAACTAGATTCTTAAACGGAACGAACCGAGGTCAAGCTGTACAATAGCTCAAGAGTAGTTAGTAAACGTTGATCATCTCATAATAATAATTTCGGCAATGCATACAATTCATATGTTCAATCAACGCACACAATCCAATATTGTTCGCTTTTAATGCAACGCCATTAAAAAAGTTACTCTTCCCTGTGTCTGCTATCGAATGTTGTATACCGTATTTATTATAGCCAATTTATAAGTGATTAGCCAGTAATTCAGTTTGTTGTTTGTACCAGCTGTCGACCGTACAATTGTCGTTCTACATTCAACCGATCCATAAGTATAGACTAACTATCTACTTACATATATATATATAAATATATTTAAATTAGTCCGAGTGTGTTTTTAAATACTTGTTTCTGTTATGAAATATGTTTGCGGCGCAATTAACGATTCAACTCCAACGGCGCACGCGGAAAAAACATGTAGGCATAATGACTTTCTGAAATGTATTTACCAATACATCATTACGGTATAATAATAGTAATATGTAGGTATGTCAGTTGATATATTTTTTTATAATAAATGCATCGGGATCGCCAACCAAGTCCCAGGTTTCGCAAGTCCTAGAACGTGCAGCGTTCCAACCGGGGCCGGCACTACCCACATACGGTGGAAACCGCTTGTATATTTATTTACAAGTAGATTGTTATGATACCAAAACCGTGTACATATATATAATACACCCGAGTTATTATAGTGATTGCTCCGGCATTAAAGACCGACGTGATAAGCGTGTACGTAAACATTATAATCATCGATTTAGGTGTATTATTATCCGCCATTGAGCGGCAAAGTGTAGCTAATAGTTTAATAGAAAAACACTATATTATGGGTGCATTACCCAACGGTCGAATCGAAATCGCTCTACATAAAACGCTTAATGATTTCCTCGTTCCCCAAAAAAACACATTTATAACCCCAGCGAAACAAGAGCAACAGACACCCGGGCGCTGGCTCGACCAGTAATTATCCAATTAGTTTTCATAGCACTGCCATTGGATTATCAAATTATAGTATTCTATATCCTCATCCGTCTCCGTTTAGTCGATTGCCGATAGAAAATAACGTAGGTTAGCTGTATTCGAAAGATTGACATCTATGCTCGAGGAAGTTTCAGGAAGCTCGACGTGCAATAGTTATGTAGTTCTATCGTACAATTAAAACAACAAGTTTTGGACTACTCGATCGTATCTAATCCTAGGTTAGGCCTCTGTCCTCCCCTAAAAAAAAAAAAATATAAGAGTAATGACTGTTGTGAAGACTGATTGAATTTATAGGTATTTGTAATTTATAATATCTATTTTAGGTGTCTACAGAAAGCGCGCAATGCAAAACACATATCGCACCGAGGTTCAATGTATACATATTTATACATATACATATACCTATAAATGTATTTTATTATTAACAATCAACTATGGTATTGAGAAAGTAGCGTTTCTATCGATAAGTAGAAAGAAAATTTGAACAACACTGTTTAAACTTTAGCTGGTAATTTTTTTCGCTTGTTGCGCTTGGTGTATTGGCCGATTTAGTCTTCTTCACCTAGGTTTATTCGTCAGCTGTATCCCAGCGAAATAATAAGTAAAATCGTATATTATGTTTTTTGGGCTTTGACAGTTGAATGTCCTGTGCTATAGACTGGTATACCTACCAATACCACAGCGTAACGTTATCGATCGCCTGCCTGGTCGAGACTTGAACGCGCGTAACCGTGTTGATCCGGTCGATCGACTAATACACATATAATATAACAACGTATGACGTGTATAATATTATTGTATATTGACCGCAATGTCGTGGATTCCGGAAATCCGCAACACTTCCGTTTGTTCTTAAGGGAATACCTATTTTGACGACTCCGTAATTTTCGTTTATGGTCAGCGAGTACTGCAGGTAAACCGTGCAATGTGTCCAGTCACAGGCGGTCACAGGTGGTCGGCACGTCCAGGAATGCGGTATCCGCGGGTAATAAAGTCAAAAACTAATGTTGAGTAATTAAAAACCTTTTACTACCGGTGATGAAACAGTGTTGTACAGGATGTATATTATGTATTAAATAACGCTCAGCGATGCGCCATGATGTCATATTCTCTGCAATGAACATGAAAATACAATATTATTCTGTTGGTAATTTCCAAGTGCCAGAGTCGTTCGAAATACATATTTTGTTTTGTTTCCTATTACCCAGGTTAAATGTTTGAAATTAATCGATTGCCATTTAGTGATTCCTTGAACATCATTGGTCAATTCAATTTACATCGTAGAACGATTATGTATTGGTTTTAATCGCGTTATTAAGAGACAAGTAAAGACTTAACAAATTATTTATATTGTACTCGCAGTGGCAGTTCATTACACATAAATAGTGTGATTTTAGTAACACCCTGTACATTACTATAATGCGTTACACGGGACAGCCGGTCAGATCATAGAGCCCAAACGAACCCGTCATCCCGGGACGGTGTTCCGCTCTCGATTTCCATTTCGGGTAGAGGGAACAAGCGACGGCGTCCCGCCAACACCATGCGTTATTGTCGTGCGCCGCGTGGACCGGTTTCCCGCGGCGGCCGGCGCGGCGGCTGCTTTCATTCGTCACGCGACAACCGGTGTGTACGCGCGACGTTTCCCGCGCAGCAGCACGCCGATCGTCCGTCCGTCCGGTTCTATCTTGTCGGCGCGCGCGTTTCCTTACCGTAGTCCACCGGACTAGCGCCGCGTCGCTTTGTTGACATAATATTTTGTAACCAACGAGGACGCGAGTGTCGTGCCGCGTCCCCTCGATGGGACCGCATTGTCGCTGACACGTCCATCCACTGCAGGGACCATGCCATTGTCGTCCAATACATGGATCGAGCGAGCCGCTCGACCCGACCGCTTGACCCTTGCGCGCTGGGCCGTGGTGATATACGCACTTCATGTGAGTCTTAACAGTTGTTATTGTATACGCTCAACAGATCAAATCTTGTAGCTTTCAACTTATGGTACAGTTGTAATGTTATAGTCACAGTAGCGCCAAAAATATAATAATAATATATTTTTTTACAAGTTTACAGTTTTGGGCTAAGTACACATTTTTGTTTGTATCTGACGTGGTAAACGGACAAAATTACCTCAAACAAAAATTATCCGACTAACGTAATAATAATAACTAATTTTAAATTAAGGAAAAACGTAATGTTGAATAAATTGTAGTATCACATGATTGCGTAGTCTTACTGCGTGTGCTTTTATACATTTTTTTTTAATTAGTCGTTTTTATTAAAATATTGTGGATCAAAATGTACTTCTTATATTTGATACAATACAATATATACTTTTGATTAAATTATGTAAATTATAAAAATATGATAAGTATATAAAAAAAACAAATTAAGCTAGGTTACGTTGACGTTATCCCGAATTTTAACCAAAGATACTAAAATATAAAAAAACTAACACTATCGTATAATAATGTTAGTGTCAATATATTATAGTGTAATATTAGAATTTATTTTTTTTATTACCAATTTATCTAATATAATATGTATGTACATTTTTTTTTATAAAATTTAAATATTTTAAAATGTTACACAAATAAAAATTGTCTTAAGACGTTATCAAATATAGCGAGGCATTGAAATCTGGTTTCAAAATACTTAAAGTCGTTCCAATGAGCACGTAGATGATACAAAATGTATGATATAATTCAGCACAGATGACTATTTAAAATATCTGTAATACAACTATTTTTTCTAAAACCAAAAATATTACTGTAGGAATAGTTTTAAAAATTTCGAACTTTGTTGTATTTGTTCAGTTTGGGGAATTAATATATAGTTCCTTATTATATATTTTATAAGCTATCGGATTTCCCATGTCTTCATGCTAAACTCGTGTACCGAATGCCAATGACCTCAGACAACAAGTGAATGCATCAGTTTTATTTTGTCCACATTGTGTGTATACAAACCAAATCGAATGCACTTCACATATGTATTACCAATATTACACATCATCCCGTAAACTCGCGTTAATAGGAAAATTCCACACGCATCTTTGAGACGAAAAAAAAGTATTTACAAAGTCATGTAGCACTTGATAATTGACTCGTATGACGTATTTACACGGCGGCCGTGTATAATATGAAATACATACTGATGCGGTGTGAATACTCAACCGTGTGGACTCATCAGACGTCACCTCTTGCTTAAACTTGGCGGTAATTGTTTGTTGAACACATTATTATTGCAAACAATTCGGGTGTTCAGATCGTATACTTGAAAACGTTCAAATATTGAAAAAAATAAACACAAATATAATATTATGATGATATTGTATTACGTTTGAACGTTATTTTTCACACGAACAGGACCATTATTTCCCAAGTCAACGGCTATCGCATAATAGTGTTATTATGTTTATCCGGATGCAACAATGAAATTGCGCGTTAGTTATTAAGTAATCCCGGCTTCCAGGGTTTCATTCCCACCGGTGAGAAAGAAGCTCCAAGGGTTTCGACACGGTCTGATGTCGGATTGGCGTACGTACAAACCGAACAGATCTGTTGCGACAAAATTAATGTTTGTTTTTTTAGATTCTGTTATCTTTGAAAACATTATGTTCGTTCCGCGTTAACTGTTAATACGACCACGTGTTGTCCCATAAATGTAAACACAAATAAGCTCGATGCAAGTTGCCTTAAACAGTTTCGGAGCGCGAAGATTAAGGTCATAACGCATAACGCATACATTAAATGGTATCCAAAGAAACGGTCGCAAGTCACAAAAAACTGTTTATGTAACTGCCCACGCTCAAAACCGTACAACGTATGTGTGACGTTCTCCTTATAATACTATTATTATTATAAAGAGTGTATAATTTATTATGGGCTTTGGCTTTGGCCGTTAAGAAAAAAAAACCACTTCCCGGTCACCGGGTAAATAATTGTTTTCATTCGTGTGCGGTATGATGCAGGTATATACACATTTATAATAATATAAAATATATTAGGCGCTTTTAACATTATTATTAGGCGTCCAAGTTTGTTTGCGATGACCGTGTGACATAACCGTGCGGATAATGACTCCTCGGCGGCGGCAGTGGCCCAAAAAATAGCGCTATGATTAATGCCAACATTACAGCATAATATCTTTCACCTCGGACGCTCGTAATAGCTGAGTAAACTTCGTTTTATACATCGGCAATCAATTTCTTCAAGCCTCGAGGCACACTCCATAACGACGTCCGCATCATCAGCATTAGCAGCAAATTTAAACAGGTCAACGAAAACGAAATGCCGACCGGACATCTGCTGATCACAATATTATTTATGAATTAAAAATATAATACATATAAATATATTTACAAACAACCACTTACCTTATGTGAATAGCCTCCAAGATTGTCGAAATGGAGTCCGTCATACGCGCACTGGCTCCAGGCTATAATAATCGATATACGGCATATTGGCATATCCGTCAACATATTATATTATGTTCGAATAACATGCATTCATAATCGTGCGTAATGATTATATCTAATAATAATAAGACTGTTAAGTACGGTGTATTATCCTTTCAAATTTATATATTACCAGATAATTTGATCATGATTCGCCTACATAGTATTGACAAACCGATAATAGTAATATTATGACAATATCATTTTAATACTAATAATAATGTAGCTACGGAGTTTTTCGAGTGACTGACGGTTTTGTGCATTTAAAAAATAACCAACGGTATTTTTTTAACCGGCGATAATATAATGAACGCGATCGGTATATGGTTTTATCCCAGACTTGTCGATGGGAAGTCTGCGTTGAGGCGTCACAGTTTATAGCCGTTAAATTAATGTGATAAACCTTTTTCATTGTGTTCACTTACGCCGTACAATATAACATTTGTTACTTTATAATAATATATAATATATATGTGTGTAATACGAATTGGATAGGTTTACCGGTGTGTGGGTATCACATTATCTTCGGTGTGATATCCTTTTATTCAGCCGGATAGGCACCGAGGTATCTAATCGAAATGGATAAAAAAAATAAAGTAATAATAATTATATATTTTTTTCGTGCGCTCTTCGTACCCAAGACGTACGAACGGATTTAAAACAAGGCGATGGAAAAGTGTCACGCTCCATATGCTTCCAGTTTGGTGGAAAACCGTGAGATGATCCCGTTATAAAGAATTCGGTGTACGCCTGTAATGAGTGACAAAAGCGTTTAAGAAAACAATCCCGTCGTCGTACAACCTAATATAAGAAAACAAATAATGTGGTATACACTCCCACGGTGCGCCAAGGACCTCACTCGTCCGTGTGATGGACCCGTGAAGTCAGACCTAAGTACAGAGACTGTCGTTTCGAATACGCCAACGTTGATAGTCCCAGACCGGCGATATCCAATTTGGCGGCATGGCAGCTTTTATGGGTGGCGGCGACCTTCGTACTGCTGCACGGTGGTCTGTGGATCTCTATTGTAAAATACAACTGCTGCTGTTGTTTCGGTCGGTAGCCATCGTCGGTAGTCGTCGGCGCGGAACTCTGTAGGCGTCTGCTGCTGTTTCTAGCCGGCGCACTAAATTAACAAGAAATTAGTAAGAAGGCGCGCGACCGGCGTTTAAAATTTGACTCGGATCGAGGACAAGGTCGCATAATAATATTAATATTTAATGACGACGACGATGATGATGATGATGTTATGTCAAACGAAAGCTGTCATGAGATGAGCCAAAAGCTAGTCGGGTTTCAGACAGATATCAGACGGAGAGCGCACATAGTATATTTTATTCCAGTGACGATGCAACACCGTTGTCATTTCGATTCCTTATTCGCACCCAAACGGATTGTTCGTTTGGAATTTTCGATGCGTGTATAATAATAATGGTGCTAGGGACCGCGAACGGTCCAGGTCGTGTTAATTTGGTCGGCGGTTGTTTGAAGAAAACAAAAAAAATATTGTTGAAATAATGATTCGAGTGAATCTCTTTGTTGTTCCGGAACAATGTGGAAATAATATGATTTTTTTTCACCACTAGAGTACTGGATTGATGTATAAAGCCGTCCCGGTGTCAGTTATTGAATCTATTGCGGGTCAAGAAGATACCAAGTTTCAATTTCAATTAAATCAATAACAATAAAAGTAAAAATTTCTTCTACACATTGTGGCGCGCACAAGCGAAATTAATTTGTATTCACCGGCTTACATAAAGAGGTCCTCATTCGTAATTTATCGTGCCGGATAGGATTTATAGTTTAGGCGAAGGTCAGTAAAAACACTCTCTCGAAAACTTCTAAACTCTCAGATCCATTTGCATTTCCATTGTGTACATGTACGTGCCGCCGTTCACGCTAAACTAAAATGAGTACGGGTGACTTAATCGAAACGAGTACCACACATAAAATGGGCACACACTTTTGGCGTGGAAATAAATAACACTCAAGCGATTCCAGATATCTCAGTCTTTTGAGGAGTCAACCTATGACGAATTGTATCATCCGAGCAAATACTGTTTACTCGCGAGACGGAAAAAATAGGTTTGAAGACATTCTTGCGAGGTAAAGAATCGGCAGGAGAGCAGTGGATTATTTAACATATCCTATAGACTATCTTATAATATTATACTGAATAGCGGCAACGACGATCGTTTCTATACTATGCATATATTATACAACGCATCCTCGTGAAAGGATACGGTAAGTCGCACTATATAATATACATTATGATATTGTTCCCTACGGTGTTGGCGGCATGAGTTGCCTCGACGTAAAAGGGATAAGAACGGTGACGGACCACCGGAAAGATTGATGGGTAAAGTAAGCCGAACACCGCGAAGCTATTGTATTTGTTCGTGGAAGTTATGTGCGATCCGTTTTCGACCATCGACCGGTCGTCGGTAACGATTCAATAACCTCGGCGGGTTGATAATT